GGGCCACGGTGTGCAGGGCTAGTGTTGACTTTTTGCTTCCTTGGTTTGCTTTAGCTGACTTATATTTTCCATTATGTGGACCGAACAGAAGTGTAGTGCTGAAAAATATCAAAATTGTGAGGACTTTTGGCTAGAAATTAGTTCCATTCGTTACTTGAATCTTGATTATATATCTTCAGCGTCTGTTTCCTTAAATCTGATCCACCTATTGGGTGATAAACTTCCCAAATAAATTCAAAACCCCATCTTTTCATTTCTCATGGACCCCACTGCTACTCCTGAGCCTGGACACCACTGTCCTCACTAGATTACGGCACACCCTACCCTGGGTCTCCCCTTCTCTGTGTAACCTCCACCCTGTCCTACACCCAGAAAGTTCTCCATTCCACAGCCTGAATGATCCTTTAAAAATGGAACTTAGAACACCCTCTGCTGAATGCCTTCCATGGACTCCTGAAATCAATTAGAACATCAAAGTCCAATAGACAGCCATAGGTCCCTCAAGATCTGGCTGCCTGTATTCCCCTGGCATCACCTCCCCCAACCGGGTACTCCACCTACCAACGACCCTAGCCATCACTCAATCAGACCCCAACTCCCAGCACTCCTGGTCCCCCCATACTACGCTCTACCCCTCTACTGACATAGCAACGAGTTCACTTACTTATTATGTGAATTGTTTATTATTGATTTCCCTCAACTGGAAGCGACCCACACCCAAAACCCTCTAATACCATCCATCACCTTGGCTCCCACTCATCCCAACCCCATGGAGGGTCCCGAGGCTGTACATCTTTATGGGAGTAGATCACTTCTTCTTTATCTCCTTGAGCAGTCCATGAGTTCGAACCGCTAACTTTGCCATTATTAGTACAACATGTAACCCATGAAGCCACCAGGACTCAGAGAGAAGTGAAGCTGCATGAAAAACATGAATCAGCGTGCATTTTACTCACTGATGTACAACAATCATTTAGCGCTGGGAGTCTCAATAAATGTCTGTTGTAGGACTGAATAATCCTCGCTCAGACTATTCCATAAGTATGTAAAATTAAATTTAGAAGAAAAAAAATGGAGAACAGAGGTGTCTTTTTTTAATTAACATTTATCACTCCTAAATCACTTTATAGCTTACAAACAGATCAAATGTTAGCTCTGCGTGAAGTTGGTAACTTTTCGGCTCTTTGGTGAGGTTCAAAGAATCAGGGAGAGAGAGGGCTTTTCTCGTTTCTCTCCTAAAGTGAAAGCCACCAAATTCATCAAGTTTCACTAATTTTTAGTAATCTGGCCAAATGTTCCCCATGGCGAATGTCCGATGACTACCAATTTTACAAAGCCTTCTCAGGAAGGCATCTAGAGTAAATGTCCTGCTCAGTGCCAGGAAGTCTCGTGAGGGGTTTGATTCTCTTGAGGCATGAGATCCAGTTCCTTTGAAGCACAGTCCAAACTGGCCTCATAACTGAGCTTCCACTGCTTGTCGGCCTGGTTGTTGTTAGGTGTGGCCCTATGCATAACAGAACAAAACACTGTCTGTCTGGTGACAGTACAGCCATCGGAATGGTTGGACGCTACATTAAATATTTAAGATTTTTTTAAAGTTCTTTAGAACTCATTTTCCAGGATAGTAATGTTTATACACTTTCACATTTATTATTCCAAAGCATAAGTTCATTACCCAAAATGTTTTAGAAAGAAATCAAGTTTGCTTGTTTGGTGTTGTTGTTTCAGACTTGTCTACCACAGCCATGGCTGTCCTATAGATTTGAGGCAAACTAGTAACTGAATTAATGCTCTGGTTAAAAGTGATCATGTCCTGTCCTTTGATTTTTCAATTTCTTTTATTTAAATAAAAAGAGTATCTGCCACTTTAACCGAGCGTCTTGCATATCTGTTTTTCAGACACAAGAGAAAACAGAAACAAAATCTGTCTGGTAAACATACAAGCAGGAGGGACGTACTCTGCTTCTGAGGGCGGGAGGAGCACAAATGTACAACACCTAGCTGACTGATTCCAACGCGTGTCTTTAGGAAAATGTTAACCCTTAGTGGCCACTAAGTGACTCCTCACTTAAAAGCAATTCACTTTTTAAGAGGCAGCATTCGACTGATTGTGGCAGTTACATTTTTATGTCAACTGAGAGATATTGAAAAGTGGAGGGGTGGTATCCAACCTGCGGATCACACAGTCTGATGGTGTCTCCTTATGGGCATAGTTTTCTCTTAAGGAAGTCCCTGGAAACCTCCCCTTCTCTCTCTGCCTTCCTGCTCGCTGAACCTGGTTGCTGCCGGATCCCTGAGATGGATCCACTGCCATTTGGTCCACAGGACTTTGCACTCTCCAGCCTGTGATCTTCCTGCATTCTGCATCATTGCTTGTGACTGTGTGAGTCCGAAGAGGGACTTACGGACTCATATCAGGCTTTTAGACTTGAGTTCAACGGGGCAGGGATGTTTTCTTGATAAATAATTACTTCTTGGTATAAAGTTCTTTCTTACACATATATGAGTGTATCTGAATTTGTTTCTCTCATCAACCCAGCCTAACACACTGATAGATCAGAAAATTCTACAGCAACATTAGAAAGTCATCTTATATGCACCCCGCCCCCTTCAGGGTTTGTTTTGAAACAAGCTTTCACTGTGATTCTCCTGGAATATCAAGTTAAACAGTCAGCGTGCAAAGCAACTGAGCCATGATCCTTCATCTAAAAAGACCATGTGCTTGTTTGCAATTATGTCAGCTAGGGTTCTAGGTGCCGGGCTATCCTTTGGAGGAGTGATCTGGGATCCTAATTCTCTGTTAGAAAACTGAAAATCGCAGTGTTTAGAACTAAAAGAAACCTTCAGAGTCCTTCTGGGCACCAGAGTATTAGGAGTGAGGACCTCATGAACAACCGTGTGGGACTCAAGTTCAAATCGGGGACAGACAAGCATAGGTAAAGAGAGAGAGAAAGCATGAAAATAAATTAAAACATGTGCATCTCTCTTCAACCAACAACCAGCATCATTCTTGAAACCTACTCTACACAAGATCAGCAACCTCTTTAGAAACAAAAAATAAAATAAATAGATATCATTCTATAGGGGAAAATTTAATTCATAAAAAGCTTCAAGACATTTTAGTATCTGGCAATATCATTACGTTTAAGTGATACAGAAGGTGGGGGGAAGTATTTTCTAAATTCAGAAACTTATTTTAAAAGAAAAGAAAGATTGCATCAAGGAATATTTTAAGAAAGGATATATGCTAAGTCTAGTTTAGTTTTCTTCTTACTTGGCTTAATTTGGCTAATTCTACTTCGTAGAGATTTTTACAAGCATATTCATCCAACTCAGATTATTATGGACCTTGACCACTAGCCAAATAAATCAGAAGAGTGATCAATATTCCCAAATGAAGGGTACATAAAAACAGCGGCAGTCATTGCTTAATAAGCAATTTAAAGATTTAAATCTGGGAACTGGCCAAACACATAAAAAAGTTGACTTTGTCATATAAAATAAAAGACTCAGACGAGGTCTGGTAAGTGTCTGAACATTTATAACCTGCTAGAACCTGCTAGACAGACTGGGAGTTTGTCTGGCCGTACAGACTTGGTGCTGCTTCCACTGGGCATTTGGCTAGGCTATTCAACTTCTGAGCACCTCCATGCCCTCATATGTAAAACAAGGATAATACTAGTGGACTGTATCATGATCGAGGTTTCCCCAGAAAGAAACAACGTGAACACATGGAAGTGATGGATAAATCAGACGTGTTCAAATCAAGAACGTATTTATAAAAGGTAACTACAAAATAAGTTTAAAGGAAGAAGAAGTCATGAAGTGGGAGAGATTTGCCTCACTTAGAACTTACAATGGACTGGTATATAGAATCAGAAAGAGAAAAATCTTTCAAATCAAAAACAGTAACAAAAAGATGGAAGAAGATGAGAGGGGAGAGAAGATAGAAACACAAGTACAAAATGGAGGGAAAGACGTTAACAAGCAGGTCACAAAAGAAAAAAATTCAAATACCAATAAACATGAAAAATTCTAATTGCAAATGATTTATCTCAGTGGTTTGGGGATTGCATGATTATGGATGAAAGTACCTAGTATGAAACCTGGCACATGGTCGGAGTTAGTCTATAATATCACCTTCTCCAATGATCCTTTTTTGACCTACCTAGGGCCAGCATTACAATGGTCATGAGTATCCAAAGATGAGGCAACATCCTATGGTCTCCACCTCCAGCAATAACCTGAGCTTCCACCAGATGCTTTCAGAGCTGAGCATTACATACGGACTCCTCCCTAGTGAATGCACACTCACATGGTATCTTTATCTAATGCACAGCACTTAATTCTGGCTGCCCGGCTCTCATTCTCTCCTTATGCTTTTCTTCATCCCCTTTAATCTCCTGAGAAATTGCATTTGCTCCACAGCTGCTACTTTAATTTAGCTGTTGTAAAAAGTCACTAGCCAAATGTGGTAAGTACATAAGTTCTTGTCAACTTATGAAGGGGTGGAGTCTAGCCTGTCAATCAGGTTGTAGTGTGATGACCTCATTTGGAGGGAAAAGGGAGATAAATAGCTCCCTGGAGGCCAGGTACACTCACTCCCTGCAAGACATTCCTGCTGACACATGGAACTACGCTGATAGAGCCAGAGTCCTGGAGCGGGAGGAGCCATGTGGAGACCCCTGCCAGAGTTGAGATGTTTCCACTGCCACTGGATCCACAAGACTTTTCACCCACTGGCCTGTGATCTTCCTGCATTCGGCATCATTGCATGTGTTGCATGAGTTTGAAGAGGTATTTATAGATTTGTATCAGATATATGGGCTAATGTCTTATGGACTTGATCTGGACTGGGCTGGAATGTTTTCTTACACATATATGAGTGTCTATGAATTTGTTTCTCTAGTCTACCTTGACTAACACATCAAAGTAGTTTCTACAAAACGATATCCCTGCGTCCAATCAAAGACCACCAGATGAATGCATGCTGCACCTACCGAGGCAGAAAGAGCCTCTGAAGAGTAGGGAGAGGGCGGTGTCTCCACAGCTACTTCGGGATCTTCCTGTTCACTCTCGCTGTAGCGCTCTACAACAACAACAAAAGAGAAGATGTTTCCTGTTTTTAAACTGCCTTCGCTCATTCCATGAAGTGTGAGCAGAGGCTCTGCTCCATCTGGTTATTGCCATCTCAATTCAAGACAGAGAGAACTTTTATAGAAAACCACCTAGTGCAAGGGGGTTACATAAGAAGAGGGGGAAAATGGATGATCCAGTAAAGGTTTCTGCCCTCCAAGAAAGTCCAATACTCTGGAAGAAGGCCTGACTGGAGCAGAGGGAAAATCAGATCATGCTTCAGAATAACTCCTTAGAAAGCTTACCATCAGTAGTGGTGATTACTGATTGATCTTTGGAGTTACAATGTGCTGAACTTGGCAGGATAAGTCAAGCCATCAAGGGCATACACAGAAGGAAGGGAGAACCAGGCACAGAGCAGGCAAAGCCAGATGTATGGAGATCCTATAAGATCTGGTCACCTGGGGACATATCAGCGAAGGTCTAACACACCAGGCTATGGAGAAGATTTTTGTGTAATGATTTTGGGGGTTATCTTTAACCTCACAATCTATACATGTACTTCATTCAACAATAGAGTGGGTGTTCATTTTATGGAAAAGAGAACCCACGTGATTATGACACAGTGCTGCATTCTACTTCTTTATTGTTTCGGATCAAGTTGCTACTCTTCCATGTCTCAATTTGAGGCTGAATGATTGTGTTATCCAAAGATATAACTCCCTTCCTCCATTCTAGATCGGTATGTGATCTGAGCCTTCCAGAAACAGTGTAGGCTTAGACACCTGGTCAAGGTGTAATTGCATCTCAAAGGAGAATGAGGCTCCAGCAGCTTTTGGACACTGGAAGCTACAGGCTAAGCCAGGAAACCCAGGTGTGCACCAGTCTGAGAGTCTGACTTGCAGGATTGTAAGCCAGCACGTGGGTGATGAATGTCGGCGTGCACCTGGTGGAAATATTGAGCTCTGAAAGAGGAAACAGTGGGATGCTCGCGATCGGGCTACATCATGACTAGATCAGGGAAAGTCAGGTCTGTGAGTAAGAACTCGGTAAATGGGGCAATCAGACATTTGCATGGGCAACTGTCAGAGCTGCCTTGAGATGCCAGTGAAGCCTACGACTGCCAAAGTGTAGGCGAAGTGTGAGCAGCGCTTGTCGCCAGCACGGGAAGCTGGATTCCACGGTAGTGGGACTGTGTGAGTTCATCTCTCTCTACATATTTTTGGATCATCTTAAATGCCAAAGTGTGTTTCATCAGGAGCAGACTACCCGTAGAATTTGACATGGTTTTTCCATGCTATTTCAGACATTCTGATACTGGCTATATTTTTAGGCATTGAAAATAGAACATACCTTCATCCTGTGCAGCAGATGCCTGATGGATCACAGCCAGTCCAAGCTTGTTTAACCACCTGAAATGCAAACGGAAAGAAAGCGTTTGACTACAGAGATGGGTCCTTACCTATTCACCTGCCCCCTACACTCGGGGGACTGGGGGTGTCTCAGGCCAAACTTCGTGAAATAGTGCTAACTCCAATATCATCAGGCTCAATGTTTCCAGACATAGCAAGAGCCCTTGGGTGACACAAACGGTTAGGTTCTCAATGACTAACCAAACACTGGCAGTTAGAACAACCCTAGAGGTACCTCGGAAGAAAGGCCTGGTGCTCTGCTTCTGAAAGGTTACACCTTTGAGAAACTTACGAAGTGGAGCTGTCGTCTACAACACATGGAGCTGTCATGAGCTACAATTAGACCCCTGCATTAGCAGCAACCGTTTGGGTTGGGTTGGGCTGACTTTGCTTCAGTGGTATCAAAGCCTAACTAAGAGGTCTCTTTGCACAAGCCTCTCCTTCCTCATGGCATCCATCCTTCCTAAGACCACAAGATGCAGTCTATCATCCAGGTGGGTAATGTGGGTAACCAAATTAGACGCCCACCAACCCACCACCATCAAGTCAATTCCAACTCACGTTAACACTTCAAACCTATGAATAAATCTCTCTCCTATGATAGTTGGGCAACTGAAATTTCGGGCCACCACACAAACTAGATCATTTACGTTAGTCACCTGACTATCAAATGTGTGTCTCCGTAATTCTAAACAGTATCAATATATTTCAGAAAGCATGAAGAAAAGATGATTCCTTTTTAAACCAGTAATAATATTTTATGGCACTTGGTTAATGTGGTAGTTAGATGATATTAAAAGAACTTGAATTTTTATGAAATTGCAAAGGTGGTGTCCAAACGGTCCATCAGGTCACAGCCTCACATGCCTCCTCGGGGTGGGCCTTCTTCTAAGAAGAAATTGGAAACGTCCCCCTCTCGCTCTGCCCTCTGCCTTCTTGTCTGGTGGAACTCTCTGCCTCTAGGGGTGGCCCGAGTGGGCCGCCTGCCCCTGAGAGCTGGAGGCGTCCTGTCATGTTTCCACTGACCGTGGATCCACGGGGCTCTGCAGTCTCAGCCTGTGATCTTCCTGTTTCCCCGTTAACCATGCTGTGCCACCAGCATGTGGCTGTGAGTCTGAAGAAGGACTTAGAGAACAGCGTCATATTAATGGACCGGGCTGTGATGCCTTCTTAAAATGCAATTACTTCTTGATATAAAGCTCTTCCTTATACATAGATGCATGCCATTGATTTTGTTTCTCTAGACAACCCAGTCTAACACACACTCGGCTAAGGATCAATAAGTATTCCTAAGCTGGCAGAAGTTTTGATTCCTTGAAATCATTTTGAGTAAGTTAAGAATTATCAATACCACTTCTTCTATTGATATTTTAAAATTCTCTTAATAATCAAGCCCACTGAGCCATCGACAACAAAAATAGAACTAGACACCACCTTAAGGCACTCAACCTTGGCTAACCACTTGGGGTCATAGTACTTCCTTCTTAATTTATGTCTGAACATGAAAGAGGAGCTGATACCAAGGGCTCAAGTAGAAAAAACATGTTCTGAAAATGATGATGGCAACCTATGTACAAATGTGCTTGACACAATGGATGTATGCATTGTTATAAGAGCTGCAAGAGCCCCCAGTAAAACTATTGTGTTTGTCTGGGTGGGCTAGAGAGCTAAATCCAAAGAAACTCATCTGTGTATAAGAGAGAGTTTTATATAAAGGGTAATTGTATATTAAGAAAGCATCCCAACCCAGCCTAGTCCATAAGTCCAATATTGTCCCATATGTCCTATATCAGTCTATAAAGTCCTCTTCTGACTCATGAGACACATGCAATGACACCGAATGCAGGAAGATCACAGGCCAGTGGCTGGAAGTCTTGTGAATGCAGTGGCATTGGCAGGGCTCCCCTCAGCACTGGCAGGGCTCTCCACGTGACTTCTCCAGGACCCAGAGCTGCATCAGGGTAGGTCCATGTGACTTCTCCTCGGGGATGTCTCGCAGGGAGTCAGCCTTGTAAGTAGAGTCTCCAAGGGTCGAGAGAGAGAAGTATCTTCAGCCTCCAAGGAGGAAAATACTGAAGTTCCCAGAATTCTCAGGAGAAGGCCATGTACAGAGGTCTCATTGACTATCTCCAGATCACAGGCTAGACTCCACCCCTACACTCTTAATCCTCAAATTGACACCAGATTATGTAACTAACACAATAAATAAAAGGTATACTTTTTAAAAGACAAACCTCAGAAATAGGCGTATTTTCTTTCTAAATAGAAAATGTGTCTATTTCTGGTATTCTTAGTCATATAATTTTCTGCATCAAGGGAATGACATTAGCTTGTGGTGAGTGATTATAGGAATAATACATTTCTCTTTAATCACTCCCTCTTGAGTATTCATTATTTCTGTAATTGGATGAATGAGATATCTTTGATATTGGCTGTCTACATATTTCTTTTTTTTTAAATCACCTTATTGGGGGCTCTTACAGCTCTTATCACAATCCATCCATCTATCCGTTGCGTCAAGCACATTTGTACATATGTTGCCATCATCATTTCCAAAATATTTTGTCTACATATTTCTAAAGCTTCTGGTAAGAAAGTCATCTGAGCACTGTAATTACACCCATCCATTCCTGTGGCCAGTAAAATCAACCACTACCTGGGCCCAGTCATACCACTAAAAAAAAAAAAAAATGCCAATTCCAACCCATGGGTCACCTATGCATGGTTTTCAATGACTGATTTGGGGGTATAGATTGCCAGGCACCTCAAGGCACCTCTGACAGGGCTTGAACCTCCAGCCCTTCCATTAGCAGCTAAGCACGTGACCATTTGAATCACCCAAGTACTCCAAGCATGCCCGCTAGCCCCACCCCCACCAGTTTCCAGTTTCCATGGAGTGAGCTTCCACCCAGGGTCACCACAGACTAGAGTTGAGTGTGTTATAGGAACCAAAAAAAGTGGGTCAAGACCCCAAAAATTAAGGCAAAACAAAGGAAGACTAACGCATACTAAAATTGTAAACGACTGATGAATATACCAATAAAATTTTCTCATCCTTATAATATTGGGGGAAGTGACTATCCAAACATAAGAAAATATTTTACCCAACAAAGTGATAAAAAAATTAAATGTTGTTGATTTCTAAAATCCAAGAGGAATTAAAAAATGTGTGTTCTCATACTTTGTCGAATTGAACTATGACAACTGGCACAGCCAATCTTGAGCAGAGATTAGATATCCAAGTCCCTTACCTACCTGTTCCAGTTATAGATATCTACACTACAAAGTCTCATTGCCGTGAAATCCATGCCAATCCAAAGTCTCTTTGTAGGACAGGGGAGACCGGCTCCAACTGGTTTCCAAGACCATAAATCTTGACAGCGGGTGGTTTTTAACCACCAGCCACCAAGCCCTAACCCACTGCATAACTCGGACTCCTTTGTAAGTAGAGACTCCGTCTAAAACAGAGGAAGTCCTTCAATTTGATGGATAAGGAGCCCGGCTACAACAGGCTAACACAGTCATGGCTGTGGGGACAGGGCAGTGCTTCACGCTATTGCACACAAAGGTGGCTCTGAGTCAGAATGGACTTGGCTGAATCTAACAACCTACTAGAAAAAGACATCACCATGTAAATAAATCAATTCAATGTCTTTAAATAATCAAATGAACACCAATCAAATCAGAAGATCAAGGACTGTGATGGAAAAATAATAATAATAACACAGAAACAATGTGATTGTGTTTAAAAACTAGCCAAATAAAGATAAACTATGGCACTGGTTCCATTAGCATTGTGTTATAATGAAGCTAATGACTGGATTACAATGGAAGTCTTTACTTTGAGGTGGAAAAATCCTAACACATTAACAAGTAGGGCGAAAAAGTAATCAGAGAGCAATCTGCTTAGCCTGATCCAAGGTACTTTAAAATCTCTGTGTGTGCATGCACGTGGATTGGAATTTAATGTCTTTGTCAAGAAGGGTGTACTTTCTATTTTAGAAGTGGTAATGCCCAGGGAGAGAAACTACTTAGAAGGATATAAACAGGCTTTCCCTTTACGTAGAGAACTCTGTAATACTGTATATACTCAAGTATAAGTCAACCCGAATATTAGCCGAGGCACCTAATTTTACCACAAAACAGACCCCCCCCCCCAAAAAAAATAAATAAATAAATAAAATTAAAATGTGGTAAAAATACTTGGTTTATACATGAGCATATATGGTATTTGATTTTCCTTTCTTTAAAAAAGCAGTTTGCATGTACTAATTGTTTGACTAGAAGAAGTAAAAATACGATTGCTTATATTTGGGGGGGTGTTTTTCTTTAATGGATTAGGTCATACACAATGAATTTAATAGTAGGAATAAGCACTGGTACAAATGGCCAGTGATTCAACTCCAACTCATGACAACACCATGTGAGTCAAAATCGTACTGTGCTCACAGGGCTTAATGGCTGCATTCTCAGAAGTAAACCACCAAGCCTTTCCTCTGAGGCACTGCTGGGTGCACTTGGCACCTCCAACTTTTGGGTTAACAGCAGAGCTTAGTGACCGTTGGCAACCCAAGATCTAATAATGATGTGTGTGTGTGTGTACTATATATATATATAGTTTTAATGTTGCAACAAGGTAATGCTGGCTCATGGCGACCCATGAAGGGCAGAGTAGAACTCCGCTCAGAGGGACTGTCTCGGCTGAAATCTTCAGGGGAACAGACTGCCAGCCCTTGCTTCCTGACACCGCTGGATGGCTTCCAGTCGTCAACCTTCCATTTAGCATCTGAGAGCATTAATCCCTCACCCCACCCAGGGCCCCCCCCAAACCCAGCTCACGGCCCATGAGTCCATGTGCAGTCCTATCGACCTGTGGGACAAAGAACTGCCCCTGTGTGTCTCCCGAGACCTTAGCGCTTTATAAAGAGGGTATAGAAAGCCTCATCTTTCTCCGCCAGGGACCTCAAGTGGCACAGAAACACCATAAAACCCTCTTTTAGCCCCTATCTGCTTTGATAAAGCTTCCTTTCTTCCTGGTTTGTTTAAGCCTAACCCACCTTCCCCTTCTCCCTCACCGCCCAAAAAGAGCATTTAAATGGGGGAGGGGGCAGAAAAGTAAAACCTTTTAAAAGAAGGATGAGAAATCATTTTGAATGGAGAGTACCTGATGAAACAAAGTAAGAGCATTCCTACGTTTGTTCCCAGCATGTAGGAATATAAGGAATGCGAGAGTGTCAGCAATCAGACAGCGACTCCTTCCAGCCCTATCCAAAATCCAGGCCCTCTCACTGCCACCATTCAGATACTTGCTATGAAAACGTTGTGACCAGCTTATCAGTTTTGTTTCTAGGGGCCACGGGCTCACAGGGCCTCCTTTGTTGTTGTTGTTAGGTGTCAGTGAGGCAGTTCTGGCCTACCGTGACCCTATGTGCAACAGAACAAAACTGTGCACGGCCTGCACCGTCCTCACAATTGTTCCAACGCCCCACTGTTACAGCCACTGGCTCCATCCATCTCCCGAAGGACCTTCCTCTTTTTCGTTGCCCTTCCACTTTACTAAGCATGAATCCTTCTCCAGGAACTGGTCTCTTCTGACCATATGTGCAAATCACGTAAGACGAAGGCTCACCATCCTTCCCTCTAAAGAACATTCTGGCCATACTTCTTCCAAGACAGGTTTGTGCTTTCAGCCTCTGTGGTGCGTTCGCTAGTCTTCTCCAGCACCACAACTCAAATGCATCGACTCTTTTTTGATGTTCCTTATTCAATAGCCAACATTCACATGCATGCCTCCTTTGCTAAGATTTATTTATGTTCCAACAGCAAAGCAGGAGGAAAACGTCTTCTCGTGGACAAGCGGAGGATGCAGGCAAGGAGTGAAATTTACTTTAAAGAAGATGGTGGATGATCCTTGGGACTGTGGTGTGCATTGGATGAGCCCACAGGTTAAGAAAAAGACACCCCAAAACCACAGCTCTCTTCCCACTTCCCGTGTCTGCGATAGGCAGTTCCCCCAGGTCTTTGTTTAAAAACCAACTCCCTCATTAGCCTTAATTACTTACCCCTGCACTTTCAAGTGGATGGTCGGTCACCGCGGAACACATGAATATCTATTAAACCTCATGACTTTTCTCTGCATCACCCCGGAGAGAAATGTCACCACTCAGAAAGGCAGTTTTCCAAGGTGGCAAACTGCTAAACCAGGACTCATCACACCCAAGGGCCACCAGCACCTGTGTGGCTCCATAAGCAATCCCCAGACACAGCATTTACTGGCTTAAACAAACAGGTGTACTAATATCAAAAATAACCCTAGAGGATGGAGCAAAACTGCCTCATAAAGTTTCTTTACAGGAGCACACTGCTCTAGCTTTCTCCTCTCATTCATAGACTCAGTGCCACACAATTGATGCTCACTCACAGGGACCCTGTAGGACAGAGCAGGAACTTGTGTTCAAAGGCTGTGAATCTTGCTGGGAGTAGAAAGCCTTGTCTTTCTCCCAATAAACTACTGGTGGGTTCAAACCATGGACCTTGCAGTTAGTAGCCTAGCTTGGAGCCCCCTCTGCCACCAGGACTCCCTAAACTTTCAACCACCAAACATTTCAGCCAAGCACTTAACCACTGCACCAGCTGGGCCGCTTTCAGAATAACAAAATCCAATCACAGTATTACAAATGCAAGAAATATGTGATAAGTTCAGGAACAGCCCAAATTAGAGCAGATAAGCAATTTTCAAGTGTAAACGTCATTGAGAGTCATTAAAAATGATGGGGCCGTGACAACCGAAGTTCAACTTTCAATGGACATCTTGGCTGTGATCTGGTAAGATAAACAGGAACATCATTATTTCAAGATCTTCACCAGCATATAAAAGCTATAAGATCCTGGCTTTTAAAAGCCTTTGATTTAATAGGCAACCAGGCAGACTGTGCCGATTATATTTATACCTCAGGCTTCTTATGCAACTGTACTTGTCTTTGGAGAGATGTGTGCATCGAGAGAAGATTCGCTGAAGAACAAATGGAATTGTAAACAAAAGTGAGACGGAGGTTGGAGGTAGGAGGGCTGAATAAACTCTAGGATGTGATTTAGAGAGCAAATCTTTCAGGAATATAATAGATTCAGGTAACCAGGGAAGAGCCCCAGACTTTCACTGGTTTAAAAATTATACATGGCTCCCTTGGTACGAAGAGAAAATTGCTAGGTAACAAAACACTTCTGAGCAATCGTCTCTCTGATAAACCCGACCACCGTCCTCATAGAGAGAATAGAACTGTCTATTTGGAAAGAAGCAGCCGCAGGATGGGGGGAAGGACGGGGACTGGGGAAGAGGGCTGGAGGCCGGGGAGGTTTGAGGGTGGAGAAGCCAGAGGCTGCAGAGGACCATTGGGAAGGGGTGGGTGGTAAGCAGGACTGAGTCACCGCCATTAAGGTCATGAACTATCTGTAGTTCTTTGGTGGCTTGGTGGATTACACATTGGCTGCTAATGTCAGCAATTTGAATTTACCACCCACTTCATGGGTGAAAGATGAGACGCTCTCGTCCGGTAACGAGTTATAGTCTCAGAAACTCCTGGGGGAAGTTCAACCTTCTCATACAGGGGGCTATGAGTCAGAATGGCCTTGGTGGCTGTGAGTTTGGTTTGGGCACTCTGACCCTCACCAGCAGAAGACTATACCCTATCATTATAGCGGTGGTCACGATCATATTGCAAGTTTTGTGATCAACTTCCATGTGCCACGTACATGGCCCTGTTGGGGTGGCTGGTTACCATGTGGCCAATGGCAACTCCTGACAACCCATTGTATGTGGAACTTCTCCAAAGGGTTGTCAAGGCTGGGACGTTTCCACTGAGGATGGCCACGTCTGTCTTCTGAGGGGCCTCTGGGTGAGGTCCATCTCCAACCCATCAGCTTGCAGTCGAGTGTGTAACCATGAGTGACGTCCAGGGACAGCAGACACCTCTGGCACACTAATCAACTTTTAAAAACGGTTGCCACGGACCCAGAGGGTCAGCTCTAACTCCTGGTGACCCCATGTTGTCAGATGAGAAACATGCTCCGTAGTGTTTGCGGGGGCTGGTGTTTGGAAGGAGAATACCAGACCTTTCTTCCAAGGTGCCTCTGATCGGATTCCTTTGCACTACTCAGGGCCTGCGTGCCACTCAAGAAGTCCGCTAATAAACAGACGAATGACTGCTTGCAAGAAAGCAGTTTGAAAAGAATCTGCTTATAAGTGCGTAATAATTAAATCCACCAATAAAAAGCAAAAGAGCTTTGACCCTAAGCTTTCCAAAATCGTTGGCTCTTGTGCATCCACTCTTATTTTTCTCAGACTTGAGAAATAAGAGGTAGGGGAGAGGAGGTAGTTAAAGTCAGGAAGAGGGCAGAAAGGAGTTTTCTGTTGAAGGTCAAGTAAATCAAAGACGTGTTTGTCACACTTAGTTGCCAATGCTTTCCCTTGTTATCTGGAGCACACAGTTTCCCACCACCCTGTGGTCACAAGTCACTCTGCCTTCTCCTCAGTGACACTGGCTGGGAGATAAGTGAAGGGGACAGAAGCGAAGCCTCCCAGCTAGATGAGCCTGCGGACAGGATATCCTGCTTTGAGGAAAAAAAAGCAAAAAAAAGCGCGTGCACTTGAGGGGGTGCGTGTTCAATAAAAGGCAGCTTCTTTTCTCCTTGAGTTTATAGAGCAAGGGAGAAAAGAGACATTATACAATGCAGACAGGTATGCAAATTAGTATGCCTACATTAATAGCATAGGTTAAAGCCTAAATTCTATTAATAGAAGAACGATGTCTGTATGTTCAGTGCTATTATCTCAATATCTGATGGGCATTTGTTGTTATTGTTGTTGTTGTTTTGTGAAGTACCATCCATTCTGTTCAGACTCATGGTGACTATGCACAACAGAAGGAAACACTACCGGGTCCTGCACCATCCACACAATTATTACTGTTTCAACCCATTTAGTAGGTGTTCAATACACATGGTTTTAATTGATTGGGTGACGATGATAAATACTGAGACGTCTTGGAGCGGGGCTTAAATTCATAGCATGCCTTGATGGCACCAATCTGTACTTCAAACGGCCATTCAGGTTACAGTCATGTGATTACACCCTAATCGAAACCAGGAATGGGAGGAACAGGGCTGGGGCTTCTATACCCCTTCTCTTAGCATCTATCCTGCTTGCTTAACAGTGAGCAGAGGACTTAGACACTGAACGAAGCTCAAGAAGGTTAGACTCTGAACAAGAACTCCTCACCCAAGGGTCGGGGTGGCCCATGATTCATGGAGAGGTGATCAACAAGTAACCCCTGTGGTAACCCCATCCCTCATAACCAAGAGATAGCTTGCATGTAGGGCTCTGAAAGCTGCCACAGCGAGGACACCATGCTTGCAAGCCCTTCCCTTGTAATGTTTTCTTCCAACACTAATCCCTGCTATCCCTTTCAAGCTTAGCGGTCCCCTCAGAAGACTCTCATAAATCCTTCCTTAAAAGGTTGTTCTGATACCTGAGATTCTCCCCAAAGCTTCCAAGTGCTAAAGAGAGGAAAAGGTGGCACAACGGTTAAGTGCTCCACAGCGAATCCAAAGGTCAGTGGTTTGAGCCCACCAGAGGCTCCATGTTTATCTGTTCCCCTGAGGCTGACACACTAAGAAACCATATGAAGCCCTTTGACTCTGAGTTGGAATCAACTTGAAAGTCCCAAATATCAACAACAGAGAGGTGAGTGCTCACAGGAGCAAACATAAATAACTGATCATGAGCATATGCCTAAAGCTCTCATATGGACCAAAATAATTCCACTCCCATACAGATTGAGCTCGCTGTTTCCTCTACTTACACATTCATTTCCGGCGTATTCTCAGCTGCAAAATAAAAGGTCTTGATCTCTGGATGACTGACCTTAAAAGCACTTGAAAGAGAAAAGAGTAGACACAAAGTTAGTGTTTGCAGTGGTCAGGGGCTTTGAACACATGTCAGACAAGCTATCAGCACCTGGTAACTTGACCCAAAAATTGAACTCAGGTCTATTAAACACCTATCATCCCCTTTCATAGAAAGAGCTGAGGGTCAATATCTTATTCCAGGACACGCAAAGGAAACTGAGTCTGGGCTGCTCCATTGTTCCCATTGAAAACATAAAAGCATATCCTTTTTTTAATTTTCATGTGCTGCTGTTTTGGTAGAAAAGGACAGTAGATGAACATGTAGAGTGATGGAGGTGTCACTTCCCCATCCTCTGAGCAACTCCTTCAATCAAAACATTGCAAACACTGCTTCAAATCCCATCAAACATATGTGAGGATTTTATTCATGTGGGGTGAAAAAGAAGCAGGGATCAAATTCTGCGACATGACAACCCAGGAGAAGCTGCTTTCATCCCAGGCACCTTTGTAAAGAGGAAAGAAAAAAATATAAGATAGATTTTAGCTTGAAGTTTAAGTATACAACATTGACGATAGCTACCAATAGAGACGTTAAAACAGCTGCTGCTTAAAACACTTGACCATGCAGACCAAAGGCCTGCAGGAAGGCCCGAAGTTTTTTTGTTTTGTTTTTCTTTTAATAACCAGCTTCCGTCAATAACGACAAGAATCAGCACAACCTCATAGATCCCTGGACACACGCGGCTACACCAGAGTGCAATGGACTCAAAGCTAGCACCAGTTTATGAGGTTTCTTAGGAAAGATAAAAACACAAATCAATTGTTCCAGCAAGTAACAAAGGACCTTAGGGGAATGCTCTGTCTGATTAGACCGGAAATGATGCCGCAGGTAGAAGAAAGGAGGAAGAGGGAAAGCAATTATAGCCGGTGCTTTCTTGGGATGAGCACTCAACTGAGAGTCACGATACCTGTGAGCTGTGACTCGCTTCCTTGGGCTGACCTCTCCTTTTATCAAAAGCAGTTACGTCTAGGGTCCCTGACAGGCCTCAAATCCTTTGGACCTAAATCACATCGCGTGTAATTCTTCAAGTCTACGACATCTCAGAGAATTCAGGTCCAAGTGAGATTCTGGCAATTCAAGGAACTAATAATTAATAAATCAATAGATGGCCTTGCGCTCATATTAACTCAACTGTGTTGAGTCCTTCCTCTTTATCCATGACTTCGTCTCTTAAAACGGAGATGACCTTGACATCAGACCTCTGGATGGGAACGTGTTTATTAAGCCATCACACCAATGCCAACACCGTCCACGTTAGGGATTCATGGGGTTTTGACAACCCATCCGCTCCACCACATGGAATTCCAGGAAACAAAAGGTTAAATGTTCCTGTTGCTTTCTGGGATGTCGGGTCATGATGCTCAACCTTTCTCTGACTGTTTGAGTGCTACGCTCACTCGATGCCAGAACACTGTGAAGGGAGAGTATTTCGAATCAGAGTTGCATGTGGGAAAAAGGAGAGACAACTTACTGCTTCTTCTTGCATTCATTGGCTCTTTCCACAGTGAAATCAGGCAGGTTGACAAATCCATCAGCCTTCTCTGCCTGAAAGATATACACAACAAGTCTGAGGAAATGGACCAGCCCCCAGGACTGGTGTGCTGAAATCAGCAGCATCCAGTAGAGATGGTACAATTGAAATGAAGAAGAAAGACATACTTCATTACCCATTGACTTCCACCAGGTTCTTTTTAGGAGAAAAATTAATATCCTCTCAATGTCCCACCCAGTGTCTTTCCATGAGAAGTGGCCCGACACAACCCAAGGATGGCCACATCCATCTGGTGTGAATAGCACTGGCCCCTTTCCTGTCTTCGTGGAAAACCCATCTAACCCAACCGAGCCCTACTTCCTGCTTTGTCCGCAGGCATCACAGCATCTTTCTCTCTCTAGAAAGTTACAAGCACATACGACAGCACCTGATTAGCACTCAGGATATGGTGGGCAAAGCTCCGCCTTTGGGGTTAGCAGATCTAGATTCATGCTATAATTCCATCTTTGGAGTGAGCATATCAAGGTTGTATCAAGGTTCACCCACTGGCTGTTATCAGCCTAAAAAGAGTTCAGAATGATCAAACACTGAGAAGCACTCAACAACCATTATTTCCCCTCCCAAATCTGTAGGCAGGAATTCAATCACAAATCTGCACCTCAGAGAATCTCGGTTCTAAAACCAATTACCTCCAGCTCATTCTACAAAGGAAAGGTAGCCAGAGAAAGTGGACACTTGATGACAGAACAGAAATGTCGCTTTCAACCACCAGTTTATAGAAAAGGGACTCACTGCCCCACTCTCTAAGCATGGGGGTTCCATGCTTCATGAATAAAACATAACTGAGCCATAAGGAGTTCAGATCTGCTTGCACAGAGAGATGTCAACTCTTCCTGCATGCACACTGGCACCGCTGAGTGGGGAGATACACTTCACAAAGATTAAACATAAATGAGTCACTGATTAGGGGGAAAGAGGCAAAAATGGATTTTGAAAATATAGTCTTAATTTTAAAAGTCTGTTGATGAGTTGTTGATGGTCATCATCCATTCTTCTAGCTGTTCAATTAGCACCCTGGGAGCCCTTTGCTCACATCATAAGTCTGAGTCTGTTTCCCTACTACCAATTACAGAGCAACATGAACAGAAACTCTGAGCCATCCAGCCCCAGACACAGCTTCCCTCTCCTACGTGAGTCGGCTTATCCAAACCCCTCACCTCTTACTAGATGAAAACCTCAATTCTAATGGGTTCTCCTTTCTCTAAAAAACAGTACACACACATACAAATGTGCTTCCAAAAAATCCTGGGGGGAAAATCCATTATCTTTTCATTCAACTTTCAATTCACTTGGTAAAGCCCTCTCATGCATACATACATACCAAACAAAAACCCAAACTCACTGCCATTGAATTGATACTGACTCATAGCAACCCTCTAAGACAGGGTAGAACTGCCCCTATTAGTTTCCAAGACTGTAATTCTTGGAAAAGCCCCATCTTTCTCCCAACTGCCCCTATTAGTTTTCAAGACCGTAATTCTTTACAGGAGTAAAAAGCCCCATCTTTCTCCCAACTGCCCCTATTAGTTTCCAAGACTAATTCTTTACAGGAGTAGAAAGCCCCATCTTTCTCCCAACTGCCCCTATTAGTTTCCAAGACTAATTCTTCACAGGAGTAGAAAGCCCATCTTGCTCCCGAGGGGAAGCTGGTGATTTCAGCTTTACAGACCTCCTGCTTAGCAGCTCAGCCCTCAAGTGCTGCCTCACCAGCATTCCCTACATATATCGAAACACTTGTAGGTTTACATGTGATAGCTTGATACTCTGCTGCATTACCAAATGGTTCATTTACCAATCGCACTGGATAGAGAATACAGACTACTCAAAAACCTACTATAGATACTACCCTTCCTTTGCATTCTCAAGTCTTAGTGCATAAAAGTGTTCTGTGACTTAATGTTATTCAGCTTTAGCAATTCTGCTCCCAGGTATATGATTATATCTCAAAGAACTGAAAACATATTCAAACAAATCCTGGTACGCAAGTGTTCGAAACAACATTATCCACAATGGACCAAAAGTGGAAATAACCCAAATGTTCGTCAACAGACAAATGGGATGTATCCACAACAGATCATTGTTTAGCCAGTGGGTAAACCAAGTGTAGCATGGACACACAATGGGATATTATTTCCAAAAAGAGAATTAAGTCCTGATACTCCCTATAATGGGAAGGAACCTTGAAAACACTATGGTATGTGACAAAGGCCAGACACAATAGATTATATTGTGTATTGTTCTATTCCATTAAAAACAAAAACAAACCATCACCATGGGGTTGATTCTGACTCAGAGTGGCCCTAGATAGAAGTTCTGGGCTGTGTAAATCTTCATGAGAGCAGAGGGCCTCCTCTATCCCCTGAGGAGTGGCCGATGGGTTTGAATGAAGACCGTCTGGTTACCAGTCTAACACATAGCCAGCATCACCATCATCACCATAGGCCTCCTTACCTTAGGATTCCATTTAAGTGAAATATCTGAGTGACTAAGTCCATAGAGTCAGAAGCAGGGATGGTTTTCGGGGGTAGAAAGCCACTGCTTACGGGTTGTGGAGTTTCCCTTTGGGATGATAAAATATTTGAGATCTGGAGAGAGGAGCTAGTTACCCAGCAATTTGAATGTACCAAATGCCACGTCATTGTTCACTTCAACATTCAATATTATGTGACTTACACCTAAATTAATTTTTTTAAATAGGCTAAAAAAGTTTGTGTCAGCTCCTAGAGTTTTCCTAGGGGGAAAAAAGCAATCAGACTCACTTTTTCTTTCCACCTGCCCACATTCATTTCTACCCCCATCATTCCACAGAAACTAGTGTGACTCCCGGTTGACCCCAATGACCTCCATGTTGCTAGATCTACACTTTTCATTGTTGTTGTTGTTGTTGTTAGTTGCCTTCGGGTAGATCCTGGCTCAGCTCAAGCCCTTGTGTTGAAGGTAAAACTGCTCAAAGTGTTTTCAGAAACTGATGACCAGGCCTCTCTTCTCCCTCACGTAAGCCTGGGCTCAAACCACTATCATTTCAGCTACAGGTCAAAAGCTGAGCCACCTGCACCTCCTAGATGGGCTCTTCCCTTTTGTAGCCCTTACTTTATTGAACCCCAGTCACTAACATGCAGGAGCCCTGGTGGTGCAGTGGTTAGGCTGTGGGCTGCGATCCACAAGGTCCGCAGTTAGCAACCACCAGCAGCAGCTGTTCCGGAGAAAGGGTGGACTTTCTACTCCAGTCTGTCAACAGTGACAGGCTCAGAAACCCAAGGAGATCTCTATGAGTCAGCATTGACTCGATGACAATGAGCAAGAGTCACTAACACATTCCAAGAGATCCAGCTGGCTGGCTGGTCCCGTAAAGATTTAGTCTCACAGACCCTAGGGAGTAGTTCTGCTCTGCCCTGCAAGGCCATTCTGAGTTGGAATCCACTCGGGGGAGGGAGTTTGTTTGGTTTGTTGAACTGACACATTGTCCACTCTCTCCCTCATGAAATAGACTCATTGTCTAACTTTTCCTGACAATATATTCTGCTGCGCCCTACTCTTCAAAATAACCCTTGCTCTTGTTCATGAGTCTTCTTCACCTGCCTGATTTGTAAATGTTTCTCAAAGCCATGTCCACAGAAATATGCTCTTCCCAACACCCTTTATGAGCAATGACTCTCTATCTTCCTTGTATGTACTCATTACCATTCAGGCAATTGTGACTCGGTTTCCTAACAGGATGGCGTAGAACTGGCCTAATATTGCCATCAAGTCAGCTCCAACATTAGGTGCCATCAAGTCAGCTCCAACCCATAGTGACCCTATGCACAACAGAAGGGAACACTGCAGGGTCCTGCGCCATCCTCACAATTGTTCCTGTGCCTGAGCCCATTGATGTAGCCACTGTGTCCATCCATCTCATCAACGGCCTTCCTCTTTTTTCATGGCCCTCCCACTTCACTGAACATGAAGCCCTTCTCCAGGGACCGGTCTCCTGAAAATATGTCCAAAGTATCTAAGACGAGTTCTTACCTCCTTCCCTCTAAGGAGCACTCTGACCTTAATTCTTCCAGCACAGATCGCTCTGTCCTTTGATCAGTCCCTGGAACTTTCAGTATTCTTCTCCAGCACCACAATTCAAATACATCGATTCTTCTATGGTTGTTCTTATTCAATGTCCAACTTTCCCATGTGTATGATGCAATGGAGAATACCACGGCTTGGGTAAGGAACACCTTAGTTCGCAAAGTAACATCTTTAGTCCTCAGGGTAATAGCCCCACAGAATCATTCTACATACACATGCAAACTCTGTACTTCAAATTAGGACCCAATCCTAGATTTCTTGTCCCAGTGGTTGAAATGCCCATTGAAGCTCTGGACAAAGGTATACCATGGGGCCACTCAGATTTGATAAATCCAAAAACAAACTCATCGTTCTACTCAATAAAGCCCCACTTTCTCTTTTTTGCTTTATGCAGGCAACGATACACCTCCCCAGCCAGAGTTCCTCTCAGCATCCTCTCAGCATCCATGTCAGGAACTGTTAAAACCTGCGATGATTATCCCTGTCATAAACCCTCATTTTATCTCTCACCTACCATCTTTTCAGTTCCCCATTAACTCTAACCTGCGTTACAGCACACAAGTCTCCTCAACCGTCTGCCTCCCTCCAGCCTTGTCCTTCCATCCAATTCAGGGTCCACACCACGATCTCAGCAGATGTCTAGACCATGAGCATTCTTCGTGTATCTTCTCTAATTAAAACCCCACATGGTTCCCAGTTGTCCTTGGATAAAGCCTAAGTGCTTTAGTGGGGCATAAAAGACTGAACCTTGTTTAATTCCACAATTTCAGTCTTCTCCAATTCCCCTAACCCTACTCACCCCAAAACAACAACAAAAACCAGAACAAAGGAGAAACAATGTTTCCATGACACTGAATTAGAATGGTCCTCCCACCACTGGCATGATGTTTCTAAACACTTTATTTTTAATACAGAAAGTTCTTCTCTAATA